GTTCCTAAACCCTTTGGAATCTGCTGAGTTAGGAATGTCTCTTGTATGTTAACTAACTCATAGCAGTGGGCCTCTAGATAGCTTGAGGGTGGGGGCTGGTTCCCAGAAGAACCAACTACAGTACTTAATCAGAGGATTAGAACTTTCAGCCCCTCCCCCAGCCTCATGGGCAGGAAAACAGGGTAGAGATTGAGTTCAGTCACCAATGGCCAATGATTCAATGAATCACGCCCCATGAGATCTGGGGGAAGCTTCTGGGTTGGTGAACATGTTGATGTGCTGAGAGGGTGGTGCACCCAGACAGGGCACAGAAGCTCTGCACCTCCATCCACATACCTTGCTCTCTTCCCCTGAGTTGTATCCTTTAAAATAAAACTTAAGAATAGCACTTTCCTGAGTTCTGTGACTTGTTCTAGCAAATTATCAAACCTGAGTGGAAGTCATGGGAACGACTAAATTGGTAGTTGGCCAGGCAGAAATAGGGTAGCTTGTGTTCATGGAAAGAAGCCCAAACTCTGTAAAATAGTTTAAAGAGGTTTATTCTGAGTCAGTGTATGTGACCATGGCCCAGGGAGCCACATCCAAGAAGTCTTGAGCAAGTGAGGCTGTCAGGTTACAGTTTGGTTTTACACATTTTAGGGAGACAGGAATTGTAGGTAAAATCATAAACCAATATGTGGAAGGTGTACATTGGTTTGGGCCCAAAAAAGTGCGACATCTTGAAGAAAGGGGGCTCACAGGTTACAGGTGGGTTCAAAGATTCTTTGATTTGTAATTGGGTAAAGAAATAAAGCTTCGTCTAAAGGCTTGGTCTATTTTAAGTTAAGGTAAGGAAGTCTGTTAATCAGAGACAAGCCCCAATATACTCAAGAGATCTGTTCAGCAACTTGATGGCCTGCAGGTGATTTAAACTTTTCACTGCGTGGCCTTAGGTCCTGTTAATAATTCAGTATCTTAATGTCACAAAGAGTCTCTTTTGTCAGTCTTATGATCTGTTTTAACATTAATGCTGGTTAATTGTTGTATCTAAACTCCAAAAGGGAGGGAGTATGAGGAGGTGTGTCCGACCCTGTGGGACCGCACCCTTACCCTGTGGGTTCTGTGCTAACTCAGAGGAGTTGGTGTCAGAATTGAATTGAATTTTGGGACATCCAGTTGGTGCTGCAAGGTTGGAGAATTGGTGTCGCAATGATGTATTTGGTGTCACAAAAGACACCAAACAATAACGCTAAGTGAAATAAGCTAGACACAAAAGGACAATATTGATTCCACTTATATGGGGTACGCAGAGTAGGCAAATTCATTCTGACAGAAAGTAGGAAAGTGGTTAGCAGGGGCTGAGTAGAGGGAGGAATGGAGCGTTACTGTTTAATGGGTACGGAGTGTCTGTAATGATGAAAAAGTTCTGGAACTGGATAGTGGTGATGGTTCCACAACATTGTGAATGTACCTGATGCCAGTGAATCATACACTTAAAAATGGCAAAAATGATAAATTTAATGTTACGTATATTTTATAAGAAAAGTAACACAAATATATATTTTTAAAAATAATGATCATGTACACAAATATAAAAACATAACCCACTTACCTCTGTAAACATCTTTTAGTGGTTCATAAATGCTATCAGCTTCAGAGGGTCTCATATTTAAACCACTTAAAAGTGCATGCATAACTCTTTGAATAAAAGATGAATCCCATGAGGCCATACTTGTAATAAGTAAGGGGTGGAGGGAGAAATTGGAAAGCTCTTTCTTATAGAATGCCAACTAATAAATGTAGAATATGTGTCAGAAAATCACACTCTTAAACCCCCTAGAGTAATAATTTATTCATGCAAGAATCAATTTAAAGGATGCTAAAGCTGGTGAGTGCAAGTTTGATGAGGAACAGATATACACAGTCATGTACCACTTAATATTTCAGTTAAACTACAGACCACATATACAATGGTGATCCCATAATATTATAATAGCGTAGTTTTACTGCACCTTTTCCATGTTTAGATACATTTAGATACACAAATACTTACCATGGTGTTACAATTGCCTACAATATTCAGTACAGTGACACATTACACAGGTTTGCAGCTAGAAGCAATAGGTTGTACCATACAGCTGAGGTGTGTGGTAGCCTATACCATCTAGGCTTTTGCAAGTACACTCTATGTTTGCACAATGAAATTGCCTAACAATGTATTTCTCACAACATATCCCTGTGGTTAAGCAACACATGACTGTACATAGTCTCAAAGTATCTGTTCATAAACTTACTCATTACAGAGGGAAAATTATTCACTTCACAGGGAAGAAACCTGGTAGATGCCGTTTTAACCAAACGGTCAAAGTTACCACCACTACTGACTCAAACCAACACCGTGTGCCTCCTGATGTGACGCCCTGCAGACAGACACAGCACCACGTGTCATGTTTCTGGGATAATGCATAACCTGAAATCAAATCATGATGAAATATCAGGCAAAAACGAATTGAGGGCTTATCCACAAAATAAATGAGTCCTCTTCTCCAAAAAGGTCACTATCATTAAAGACATATTAATAGAAGGGCTGAGGAATCATTCCAGATTAAAGGTGACTAAAGAAAATAGGAAAACTAACTGCAATGTGTGATTCTGCTATGGATGGATCAAGAAGAAAAACTGATGCAGACAATATTATTAACTGGTGAAATCTAAATATAGTGTCTGTAGCTTTAGCATTATATCAACAATAAATTTCCTGATTTTTGATCATAGTTCTGTGATTCCATAAATGGATAACTTCCACAGTCAAGATAACAGTAAGGAACATGGTATCTGCAATTTACTAGCAGATGATTCAGGAGAAAAAATACAGATATCTATGCAGAGAGACAGAGGGCAAGGGATGTGGGAAGAGAATAAAACAAATGTGACAATATCGGTGAAGAGAATATGGATAAAGAGAATATGAGGGTACTTTGCACTATCACTGCAACTTTTCTGTAAGTTTGAAATTGTTTCAAAATGAAAGTTTTAAAAAAATGGGTATGAAAAATTTCCCATAAAGCTGTGCCATGTTCATGCTTCTGGAGAGAGTCCCTTCGTGTCTCATCAGGTGCTGACTGTAAACACTCCCCAAAAAGGGTCAAGACCTAATACACCCCTCCTTTCCATCATTACTTACATTTCTATATTTAGTTGTATTCCCTGACTCTTACAACTGCAATTTAAATTGAAATAGCAAAGATAAAGATCTTATCAATCGAGATAGGAAGCATTCCTGTTAGTCTGAGTATCAGGGAACAAAAAAGCTTTTAAATAAAACAGTAAAACTTAAATACTGTAAAAATAATAGCTTTTGCTATATGAGCATTCAATGACTTTCTTTCTTCAGTTTTTAAAATGCAATGGTTGCCCCCAAACAATTTTCTCATTCATTTTGTGATTTTATTCATTCATTCTAGAAATATTTATCAATTTTGAACAAAACACTGCTCACTGCTGGAGGGGAAATAAAACCCTGCAAATAATCATTAATTGACTCTTTTCATTGACAGTGAAATTAAAATGTACTTATTACATTAGAAAGTAAGGTTTATCCATTGTGGCTGAAATAAAAGAATATGATTGCGGGTGAGAAACATGTAAAGAACAAAACGATAGGATCTGGCGGCGACATCTGTCACCACATGGATCGCCAGGGTTGATTTGGCTGATCTGGCTGGCTAGGCAGGTGTCCCCGTCCTCCCTCACCGCTCCATGTGCGTCCCTCCTGAGCTGCACACTCTGTTGAAGAGGAAGACCTTCTCCGATAGAGGAGGACCGGTCCTCGGTCAAGGGTATACGAGTAGCTGTGTTTCCCTGCTAGAACCTCCAAATAAGCTCTCAAGAATAAAACAATAAAAATCAGTTTAAAATGATAAAAAAAGTCACATATGCAATTTCGAAAATGAATTGCAATTCAGCTTTATTTTTATGTTGTTTAATTTTATATACATTACATATATCATAAATACACACTTGTAATACAAAAATCTATACAAAAACCCAAGTAATTTAACATTTAAAAAAGGGAGAGAGAGATACTGCATTTGATTTCTGACACTTTTCTGTTTAAATACTCCTTAAATTCAGTTTTCAAGACAACAAATTAAAAACCATTAATTTTCAGAGGGCTTTGTGTTCACATAAATTCATCGTTCAAGTATATTTTTATTGAAACAAAAAAACATTTCTCTGGTTGCAATTTCAAACTGGATAAGCCATGATATTGAGCAACAGCAGAGAGCTCTGCTTTCCTCAGCTTATAATCAGCTTCTAACTCGTGAAATGCAGAGGACAGTGATTTTTAACCCAACAGTATAAAATACCGTATCATAGGGCTGACAATGCACAGCACACCCTATACTGTTCGTTTACAGGGTCTCATTAAAAATATAATAAATACTAAAAGTAACAATTAGAAATTTTACTTTTCCTAATTTTTTAAAAATTCAATTTGAAAACGGTACATCTTTTTCACTGTACTTGGCCCCTGGACATCATACATGAAGGAATAATTTAAACATCTGATGAACAAAATATATACATAACTCCTAAAGAATTTTCTTATGGTTTAATTAATTCCATTGTAATTTCTACTCAGCAGTTATCACAGCAAATATAAAGAACTTAAAAATAATATTCCTCACCACAGTACTATCATGTTTTTAAAAAGTGAATTATTGAGGCACAAAAACATTACATGACTTGCCCAAAACCATGAAGGGAATGAGGTAACATGAGATAAAAGCATGTTTTTCTAACTTAAGTGATCACACTAAACTCTACCTTAAGCCATCTTCTAAAATTAGCTCAGTGTAACAGATACAGAAGTTAGCTACATTATTCAGGAATGTTTGTTTAACCTAATCTGCCATTATTAAAAAACTTAACTTTATGTATCTATATCTTTATCATACATTATTAGGAATTTATAAATAAAATATGATCATTTTCTGAATGATTAGGCATGAGTTATTATTTGACACGATTGCAAAAACAAAATTGACAATTTTAAAACAAATGAGTTCTATGAAAGATGATTAATAACATGATTTTTTAAAAAAATACTAATCATAGGACCTACAAAACTTAGAAGATAGGAACCTTAGATGCAAACACATTAATATAAATGTATTAAATCACCTTCTAATTGACCTTTTGTTTTTTATGGAAACGTTCTAACAATGCACTCATAATGTTTCCTGGTATTCTTTGGTGCTCATCAATCAAAGCTTGAACAGCATTCTTCGTCTATTAAGAAAACAAAAGAAAAACCATTATTCTTTTAGATCTCAATGTAGATCATTTATTTTGTAAAGATTTTTATACACTACTACTACTTTCAAGAAGTCCACTCTAATTTAGCCTCCACCTCCTCTCAGAATTAATGATTTCCTTTTCAGGTACACCCACAGCATATTTCTTATACTTATTATGTTAAACCTTGAATTGCAGTTGTCTGCATGGCTGTTTTCTACACCAGACTGTAAGCTCCTTAAGACACATCTTAGGGCCAGGCACAGTGGCTCACACCTGTAATCCTAGCACTTCGGGAGGCTGAGGGGGGGTTGGGTGGGGAGGCATCCCTTGGGCCCAGGAGTTCAAGACCAGCCTGGGCAACATAGCGAGACCTTATCTCTAGCAAAAATAGGAAAAATTAGCCAGCCATGGTGGCACATTCCTGTAGTCCCAGCTTATTGGGAGACTGAGGCAGGAGGATCGCTTGAGCCCAGGAGTTTGAGGTTGCAGTGAGCTACGATCACATCACTGCACTCCAGCCTAGGCAACAGAGTGAGACCCTGTCTGAAAAAAAAAAAAAAGACATATCTTAGTATTTTTCTGGCATTAAGCACAACACCACCTTACACAGGATAAACACTAATATGAACCGAAGGAAAAAAAAAAAAACAGAAGAAAAAAGTGGTAGTAAATGTTCTAGTAGGCAAATGGAAGATTCAGTCCTTTATAGCCGTTAATAAACTCTAGTGTATTTTCCTTCCATCACCATTCAGACCAAACAATTGTATAAGGCAGTGTTATAGGGAAGAGTGAGGAAAATGAAGAATGAATTGATATGCTTTCATTCATTATCTCAATTTCTAGACAGTTTCACAGGAATTTTAATTAAGTCATAGCAAGGGAAAAGTCAACTACGATATATCAAGAAATCCTCTAAAGCTATTTATTTCTATTCTATTTATGGTAAATTTCAACAACTTTTATTTTTAAATCAGTTTATGGCTATTTAAAATTTTTATTAATGTGTGTACATAGTGCATGCATATATACATATACATACTTCCTTTTTAGACCCTAACCTTTAAATAAAATTAATAAACCCTAGCCCAAAGATACATGTGAAAAATACACCCCTGTAAACCACAGTTTTCACATCTCTAAAATGAAAACTACTTCATACAGTTATTATAAGGATACAATGAAACTGAAATAACACCTTCAGGTACTTAGCACAGTGACTGACACTATGCTAAGTGTTCCATGAAGTGTGTTTCTAAAATTTTGTTCATTTATTCAGAAAATATTAGATGCTTTGGAAGCCATAATGTTAGTAAAACAAGTCTCTAATCTTAAGGAGCTCATAACTTAGTAAGAAAAATCAAGTGCAAACTAATTAAAATGTGAGATCATTTGTGATACATATCATCCGAAATGTGAAAAGAAAATATTCAGAAGTACAGACTTTAGAGCCCACTGGGTGGGCAGTGACCAGGGGAGGACACATGAACAGGGTGCTGTTTGGTGTGGGTCTCCAAGGACCTATAAGATTTCATTAATGGTGAAGGAAGGAGCATAGGGAAAGAGAATACAGGAAAAGAACTGTGTAAGGAACGCCAAGGTAGCCAGTTTGGTTCAAGTTTCAGGTACATATTCAACAGCTGGGTGATATGAGGCTTTAGAATTAGGTTTCAATTAAAGCATGAAAGGAGTTAAATAACAAGGGAAAAAGTATAGACTTTGTTTAGTATGAATTGAGGTGTCAAAGAAGGATTTTTGGGTGAAGAAATATCAGGGCTATGCATTAAGAAAATGAAACTCTTGCAAAGATCACCAATGGTCCCCTTCTTTCGCTAAATCCAATGGACAGGATTTTAATCTTCATTTTACTTGACATCTCAATCACCCATTTTTTGTACTCCCATTTGCTTCTGGAACCTCACACTCTCCTAGTTTTCCAAGAGCTCCCAGGTTTTTCCCTTTTGTTCTCTTTTTGCAGATTCATTCTCCTAAACCCAGGCATTGATTTATTCTCCAAAGGTTCAGTAATCTCATCCATTTCCACAGCTTCAGTTACTGGCCATTTGCTGATGACTCCCAAATGTCCCTCTTCAGCCCTCTCAGCTGCAGACTGGTACGTTCAATATGACTTCCCATCAATGTTTTAAAGGCACCTCAAACTCAATATATTTAATTTAAAACTGAACTAACATTCTTTCCCCCTCATACTCAGTCCTTTCCTGAACCTTCTCCTTATTTCAGCAAATGATACTACCATGAATCTAGCCAAGTAAGCCAAAAGCTAGACGTCATCCTTAAAACTCTTGCTTCTCACACACAATAGCTCAACTACCGGCAGTGCCCATTAGTTTTACTTTCTGGACACCACTCAAATCTATCCACCTCTTTCCAACTTCTCTCTGCCTTAACAACACATGCACACATACGTAAATCTGTATTTATATGTGGGAGTGGGTGTGTGTATATGAATGGAGAGAGAGAGAGGTAGAGACAGATACGGACATGGAAAACATGGAAACGAACAACAGAGATTAAGACTGAGAGAACTTTAAGGAAATATCCCAAGTGTCCCCTTCAGCATTGTTACAATACATTTTAATTTAGATTTAAACAGTGTTTACAAAATGGCTCTGTTCTACAGTTGAATGCCGTTTTTTAAATGAGGTTTCTACCTATTAATTCGAATGCTAATAATTTCAAATTTGTGATAATCCAGGGATCATTATACTATAGTTTATGCTTATGTTATTTATTAATAATGAAGAAGATTGGAAAATTATGACAATACATTCACAAAAAGAGAATCTCAAGTATTCTCTATTTCAAGTATATTTTAGTTTAATAATGTTAATTTACAGAAAAATTATCATTTATCCCAAGTGACTCTGCTGCCTTGTAGGCAGAGCAAGAATTAGAACCCATATTACTAAAATTCCAGGCCAGAATTTTTTTACCCCTCTCCATTACCTTTTATTTTGACCATAAAAATAGACAGTATTCTTAAAAAAACAAAAACGAACAACCACAACAAAACAAACAACAACAAAAAAGCGTTCCTAACGAGGTCTGACCCACTTAACTCCTAATATTAATAAGTAGGCAGGAAAAAATTTTAAAAGAACAAAACAGAATTCAATTATATCCTAAAGGAGAATGCATTTGTTAGGGAGCAGCAAAGGACTATGTTACAACAACAACGAAGTGTGCGGGGGCAGAAGCAACAGCAAAGGGCGAGGTCCCAGCCTCAGTGCAGGGTTCTTAGGGATCTTAGGAAGATGTCGCTTCAGGATGAAAGAAGAGTAGTGCTGTGTGGTGAACATGTCCTGGCTCTAAAAGCCAAGGATTTACTTTCAAGACATAGGACACGACTAAACTGTCATTATACTTAATGAACCAGTAGAATAACTGGAGGACAAAAAGACACATAATATATTGTTAATATTACCTTTGTGAAACTTCCTGCATACATATCAGTTGCTCCAATCTCATCTAATATAATATTATAGCTGCTTCAGTTGTATAATAATATCCTTTTCTAAGTGACTGAACTTGGTAAGTACTAGTATGGCGGGTGCATTACAGTCACTCATTCCTTCTCCCTACCAGGCCCCTCTTTTCTGGGCCATCGTGTGGGATGCAGGAGCCACTTCCAAACAGAAGCTTGAAGGGCAACCTCATGGTTCTACTCCTGACCTTTCCTTCTACCACTGAATGGCAGTGTCCCACACGGGGCTCTCCTTTCATCCTGAAAGCCAATGGGAGGAAGACATGGACAAAGCTGCAGCTGAGCCCCAGGGGAGATACAACACTAACAAGAAGTACATTTTACTGTGATAAGCCTCTGATATTCTGTGGCTGGTTGTTACCCCAGCACAACCTAGCAAAGCTGACTGAATCACCCCATTTTCTCATGTGTAAAACAGTGATAATAAGGTCCACATTATACAGCTGATGTGAAGATTAAATCAGACTGCATAAAAAGAAATAAAATTATCTTTGTTTGCAGATGACATGATCTCATTTGTAGAAAACCCTAAAGACTTAAAGATTCCACAAAAAAATAGAACTAATGAATTCAACAAAGTTGCAAGACACAATATCGCCACACATGAAAATGAGTTGTATTTCTATATGCTAACAATAAACAATAGGACAACAGAAATGGAAAATAAGAAAACAATCCCAATGAACAATAGGAATGGAAAATAAAAAAACAATAGCATCAAAAATAATAAAATAATTAGGAATAAACTTAATCAAGGAGGAGAAAGATTTGTACATTGAAACTATAAAATTCAATAAAAGAAATTACAAAAACTACAAGTGGGAAAACGTACCATGTTCACAAACTGGAAAACTTAATATTATTAAAATGTCCATACTACCCAAAGCAATCCATAGATTCAATGTAATTCCTATAAAAATCTCAATGGCATTTTTTGTAATAATAGAAAAAAAAAATCCTGAAGTTCCTATGGAATCTCAAGTGTTCCCAAGTAGCCAAAACAATCTTAGAAAAGAAGAACATAGCTAGAGGACTCACATTTCCTGTTTTCAAAGGATATTACAAACCTAATTTTATTTTTTCCTTTTTATACATAGCTATACAGTAATCAAAACAGCGGTACTAGCATAAACACAGACAAATACACCAATGGAATTGGACAAAGACCGCAGAAATGAACCCTCACATATATGGTCAAATGATCTTCAACAAGGGTGCCAAGACCACACAATGGGAAAAGGACAGTCTCTTCAGCAACAGTGTTAGGTAAACTAGATATCCACATGCAAAACAATGTATATATAAGGTAAGGTGGATTCTTACTTTACACCACATACAAAAATTAACTCAAATGGGATCAAAGGCCTAAAAATAAAATCTAAAACTATAAAACTCCTAGAAAAAAACATAGGGGAAAAGCTTCCATTACAATGAATTTCGTAATGATTTCTTGGATGTGACACCAAAAGCATAGGCAACCAAAGTGAAAACAGACAAATGGGACTGTATCAAACTCAAAAATGTCTACACATCAAAGAAAATAGTCAACAAAGTGAAAAGGGAACATACAGAATGGGAGAAAATATTTGCAAATCATATATCTGATGCAGGGTTGACATTGAGAATATATAAAGAAATTCTACAACTCAACAACAAAAAAACTCAACTAAAAATTGTGCAAGTGACTGAATAGACATTTCTCCAAAGAAGACATACAAGATGCCCAATATCACTAATCATTAGAGAAATGCAATCAAAACCACAATGAAATACCACTTTACATCCATTAAAATGGCCACCATAAAACAAACAAACATCAGAGAATAACAAGCATTGATAAGGATATAGAGAAATCAGAATCCCTGTGCAACTATTGGTGGGAATGTTAAATAGTACTGCCAATGTGGAAAACAGTTTAGAAGTTTCTTAAAAAAATTAAAAATGGAATTACTATATTATCTAGCAATCTCTCTTCTGAATATATGTCCAGAAGAATTCAAAGCAAGATCTTGATGAGATATTTGCACACCTACATTCACTGTAACGCTATTCACAACAGCCAAGAGATAGAAACAATCTAAGTGTCCATCGACAAATGAATCGATATAGAAAATGTGGCAAATGTATAAAATGGAATATTATTCAGCCTTGGAAAAGAAGGAAGAGACAACATAGATGAACCTTGAGGACATGCTAACTGAAATAAGCCAATCGCAAAAAGACAAATACACTGATATGAGGTATTTAAAGCAGCAAACTTTTAGGAAAGTAGAATGGTGTGATTGCCAGGGGCTACGGAAGGGGGAAAGGGAAGCTGGTGTTCAATGGGTATAAACAGTCAGTTTTGCAAGATGAAAAAATTCTAAAGGTATGTTGTTCAACAATGTGAACGTACTTAACCATACCGAACTATATGCTTGAAAATGGCGAAGATGGTAGATGTGTGTGTTTTTTTAACCACAATTTAAAAATTTGTAAATAAATCAGACTGTATATGTATACACGAAAGGCTGGTATAAAAGTTATAATCAAAATATATTCGTCCCGTTTTCTAGGTGATTCAATAACATGACATTTATTGTTTTTGTAGTTTTACACTCTCTGAAAGTATAATTGCAAGCTGAATGGTCTTTTCTCATCCTCATCTTCCTTGATCCCGCTTTTTCAAAAACTTCACCCACTGACCTCTATCACACAAATTTACTCCTTTTCTTATCTCTCTGCCAGTTCCCTTTCAGTCAGCGTTGGTTGTTCTCCTTCCTTGGCCTACCCTTATATGTTACCTCTCCTGCAGTTTGTCCTCAGTCGTCTTCCTTCTCTCTCTCTGACCTGCTGGTAAAGCTTAAGGCTTCAGTAATTATCTCAGTACAAATGACGTCAATATCTTCATCAATTCTGACTTCTCTTCCAAACTCCAGTTACAATATTTCAAAAAACCTAAATACATTCCTAGCTATCCTGCAGGTAACTATAAATTCTATCCCTGGCCTCTACTCACTAAATGTCTGTAGCACCACCACCCTCGAATCCTGCCCGTAGAGACAGTAAGTCTCCAGAGATTGACAAATGTCCCCTGGGGAGTAAAATCACCACTGGGTGATAACCACTGACCTAGAACATGCTTGCAGAAAGAACAAATAAATAAATAAATTTTAAATATAATAATCAAAAATAAAAATCTGTCCTAAGACTAAAAAAGAAAAAACTGATTTACCTTTTCAGCTAATTCTTCTGCTGTTATCTTTGGATCATATGGAATGGGATCACCTAAATAGGTCCGTAACTTCACTGGAAAACCTCCATACATTGGAGCAAATGGATAGCGAAATTTTTCATAAAGCCACCTAAATAACCCTGTTTCAAAGTAAACAAAATCATTTTAATTGGTTAATTAGTCTGACCATGCAGTTGTAAACTTTCAAATTAATTATGTAAGACTTATAGGAAGGTGGCAAAAAAGTATCACTTCCTCACAATTAATATAATTTTTTTTAAAAGAGGAGCTTTTCATCAATTGTAACAAAGTACCACATCAATACAGGATGTTAATAAGAGGGGAAATTGGAGGTGGTAAGGAAAGATATGAGAATTCTTTGTACTTTCTGCTTAATTTTTCTATAAACCTAAATATACCAAAAAGTCAATTTTTTTAAGAAGATGAGCTTTTAAAAATATGAGAATTTAAAAAGGCAAACCAATTATTATTATTGCAAAACAAAAGGTAAAGACTGCTACCAGAAGCTAGAAGCTAAAAAGTCTAGAGACTCACAATAGGTGACTTACATGAATAAAAGATCAAAAATATTATAGAAATAAAATAAATTAAACATGAGACTATTGATATAAAATAAAGACTAAAAATATTATTTTAAGTTAGGAAAAACCAAACTAATATATGAAAGCAAAGAATTACTAATCCTATTGACCAAATCTAAAATTTAGCAGGATTAAATAAAAAAGTGGTAATAACGTAAAATCAACTGATAGACTAAGTTTTAAAAAAAAATCAAAAACATTAACAAAGGAATTCAAAAAAGACAAGCCACATGGAATACATTATCATGGATTATACTGAAAGCCGAAAACAATGTTTACATATGGAAATACAAATGCACCATAAGACCCAAATCACACACACAAAATCACTAGATATGAATTTTTGAAATATTTAATTTTAAAGTCAAGAAAAGTCAAAAAGCAGTCACAATAAATTTTAAAAACAATTTCCAATTAAGTAAACAAAATTTCTGGAATAATTTGATTTGTCGCTAAATTCTAAAGAAATGAGCTGAGAGAAAATTAAAAGAAATAATTCCATATCAAAAGTAAAACATCGCTGGGAGGCCGAGGCGGGAGGATTGTTTGAGCTCAGGAGTTCGAGACCAGCCTGAGCAAGAGCAAGACCCCGTCTCTACTAAAAATTAGAAAGAAATTAATAGGACAACTAAAAAAATATATATATAGAAAAAATTAGCCAGGCATGGTGGCGCATGCCTGTAGTCCCAGCTATTCGGGAGGCTGAGGCAGTAGGATCACTTGAGCCCAGGAGTTTGAGGTTGCTGTGAGCTAGGATGACGCCACGGCACTCTAGCCCGGGCAACACAGTGAGATTCTGTCCCAAAAAAAAAAAAAAAAAGTAAAACATCGCATCAATCTGCCTTTCTACTTCAAATTTTAAAAATGGGGGGAATAAATTAAGATTTAAAAACATAATGGAATATCAACAAAATAGCAATGTTATTCATAGAAGAAATAACAGCAGCTTAAAGCTCTTCAGAAGGGGACTTATATATGGATAGAAACACTAACAATAATAGTGCTAGGGATATAAAATATAATCAAATATATAACAACATATAAACCATAGGGTATAAACACAAACTTTGAAAATTTCAAAATAAGAAAGCAGACATTGCAAAGAAAAAGCAAAATCATTAATATTCCTATAACTGGATTAAAAGTTTATTTTTAATCAATACATTAAAAATACATAAAAAAAAATTTTCAATGTAAGTGGTTCAAAATATTAAAAAAAAAAAAATAAGGGTGACAGAAATAAATCAAAGCAAATGATACTTCCTTAGGTAGTTAATCTTAATTCGATATCATATTGTCATCCATTTTTAAAGCTGTAACTTCTGGGTTGAGTTAAAAAGATAGTTTGGAGAGTTTGTAAATTTGTTCTAAACCTCATCAACATGGTTTAACACAATATATTAGATAATTTGCTCCAAAATTTTAAAAAGCTCATTTAAAAAGCTTCAGTACGTAAGATACTTTCAACAAAAACATAACATCTGAGAACTACCATTACTTAGAACCAGTTATCACATTTAGACTTTTCGTTTTAAATTAATTTATTTATTTTAGAGACAAGGTCTTGCTCTTTTGCCCAGGCTGGAGTACAATAGCATGATCACAGAGCTCACTGTACCTTCAGAATCCTAGGCTCAAGTGATTCTCCCACCTCAGCCTTCTCAGTAGCTAGGACTATAGGCACACACCACCATGCTAGGCTAATTTTTTTTTAAAGTTTTGTAGAAACAGGGTTTCACTACGTTGCCCAGGCTGGTCTTGAACTCCTGGCTTCAAGCGATCCTCCCACTGTGGCCTCCCAAAGTGCTGGGATTACAGGCATGAGCCACTGCACCTGGTTTATTTACATTTTAAATAGAAAAATATCTAAATAATATATCCATTTTCTAAACTTAATAATTCAAAAGGATTCCTTATAGGGTTTTATAAACTCGAATATTTTAAATATTGCATTGTAATTAAAAATTGTACGAATCAGAACTTACTTGTTCCTCCAAGTGATCTAAATCCTTCTCGAATATTTTGTGTAAACATAGGAATAATGGGCTAAAGAAAAGGAAAATCTGAATTAAAAAGTAAATAATTAATCCATTAATCAATGTCTCCACTGAGTAATGCAAACTTTTTTTTTTAAGAAAACAGGCATACAAATTTATTAGCGTTGCATAGGGGAAAATCACGCAGTGATTACCCACTAATGCACACTTTTGAGGGCCTGTTTGAGGTTTTGAAAATAAGATATTTTAAAAATAAACACATGCTTGACTATTTATCAGGCTAAGTTCAACTTGATCATTTGTGAAAATATAAATTGGAAACACTACCCTCCAGTGGTAATGTGTAATATTTCATTTACCAATTTTCCTAACATTCCACATAAAACTGAGAAACCCAAATAGAGATTACAGTAATCGCTAACTTCATTAAGTAAAATGAATGTGGTAAATTAAATTGGTTTTAGTGGGCTACTGAATAGCATGCTCACTGAAGAATAGTTGCAAGGTAGAGAAAGAGTCTCTCTAAGGGGAAATTTATATAAATTTAAATGACAGGTTTTGGCAAGATGCTGTCATGGAATTAGTGAAATTTTTTGTGAGCCTATTAAATCTAAAATGTTCAGCATCAATGAAAAGTAAGTATTAAGACACATGGCAAAAAAAGTAAATAAAAAGAAAAAAAGAAGTCTTCATATTGTTCATTTACGGAATTTTTGTTCACGAGTTCATGATTTTTAGTTTTCCATGAATATCAATGATTATAATTTTTAATAATGAAGACTTTAACTAAAATCATAAAATAATAAAGTATTGAAATATCATGTAAGGAGGTCATGCCACTGTGAACAAATGAAGTAGATAAAAAATTGAATGAAACACTTTAAAATATACACATAATATACTGAATTAAATGATCTTTTAGAATAGATAAAAGTGGGGGGGAGTATCATATTACAATCGACCATCAGTATATGCCTATTACTTGCTTAATGAGCAGGGTTTGAGATATTTAAATAAGTTGATATTTATAGTTGTTCCTATTCAGCTTTGGAAAACAATAAGACATGGTGGGCTGACGGAAAGAGACTATAGGTATAGCTTTCTTCATAAAACTTACCACCTCACATGTAACTAATCAATCATTTATTTTATTGTCTTTCTTCTCTCACCAGAAGGAAGACACCTGATATATTGCAGGGACATTGTTTTGTTCACTGCTGTAGCCCTGGCACCTAGAACAATGCCTGCAATAGACCAGGTGCTAAAAGAAAGTATGATGGATAAATTAAAGAAGGAATGAATAAACAGAGCAGAGAGATAATGCTTCTAATGAATTATCCGTACCCTCTGAATACAAAGTTCAGAAACAGGCAGCAACAATCTCCAACCAGTTAGGAAAAAGAGGGAACACAGGTAAAGAAAAGCAGCCAGATGAAGAATTTAAAATTTGATGGAGTTAATTCACAAAGCTTACACATAAGAAGATAAAGTATGCTGAACTCTTCAGTAGAAAATTCAGATTAGGATCTAGGAAATCACCACTAATTTTGTAAACTAAAATGATGGCTGAAATCCTAATGTTTTAAGTAGTTATAAAATGTCCTTAGCATTGAGAACTTAAAATGTTCAAGAAAGAAATTTTCCAGCTCACATGTACACCATTTTGTATCTTCTGACCAGCACTGCTGGATTTATGTTTCCTGACTGGCATGATCCTAGAAGTCTGTATTGAAGTACACATTTTTTAAAGAGTATTTGGGTTAAACATCATTTCTTAAATAGCTAATGCTCTGGAGGCTGGACATTTCTAGAGCCTACTCAACAGGAGAAAGCTTACCCTGGCAGGATCAGTGTTTCAGGCTATACTCTGGGCATATGGTTTCTATACATTCAAGCTTGCATCCTTACAGGCACAAACATCACTTTATTACAACTTGACCTTGTAGTACAATTATTCATTCCCTTCCTTATGCACACTTTGTACACAAGGTAGTTGTATTAGTAACCTGGAATTAAACTGTTTACATAAATAAATGTGTCTCCATATGTATGTGTATGCATGCATGTATACAAGAGAGAGAAAGAGAGAATGTGTATGTTTAAAAACTCTTCTTGGGGAATCAGTTTAGCACGGTCTTGGAGTTTTAACTCTGCCACTAAAAATATAGGAACCACTGCACAAGTTACTTACCATGTTTCAGTCTCACTTTCTTCATGTATAAAATGAGGATAAATAATAATAATAATTTTCCCTATCTCAAACTTTTTTATGGATTAAGATAATTCACATAAACAACTTTACTGAAACATAAGATTATTTTCTTTTGCATCTGTTATTTATTTTCTAATTGGGCTAATTTTTCCCAACTTAGATATAAAGTTAGCTAAAAATTTCTTATCAAAGTTAAAATTCTCAGGAATTCACAAGAGTGATTTATACCGAAGTTTGTCACTTTCAAATAAACCTTAAATACTTTCTACCAATATTTTGTGAACATAAATTGACAATCTGACTTCTTCCCCTTTAATTTCTATAACTGTGTCACAATTTGGATATAGTTAATCCTGTAACAATAGTCAAATTTTTGCTCATAGCTTATGGCGATTTTGTGAGGCCTATGAAGGGATTTTCCAGATGGGACACTTGTGCCATTTGCAACTATACATGTACATTACTGAAAGATTTCCCTCACTTATCTCGGATGTCAGCAGACTCACTGTGAAATGTAGTCAGGGGTGGCAACAGCACCAGTTGCCTCGAGTCCTGAACTGTGCTCTGCTCTGCTGCTGCCTTGCTGTGTGACCAGATCCCTTCCATCCCTCCAGCTCTCTGTGCCTGAGTCTCATCTATAACATCGGAATAATTGCACATGTCACCTCCTCATGTACAGGAGTACCAAGATAAGGCTTTTAAAAGTGCTACAGATGTTGGGGTGGTACAATATTAATCAAACTTACACTGGTATTTTGTAAGTTTGTAGCATTAAAAATTTCTGTTTGTTTTAAGCTTATAAAAGGTTATTTCTTAAATTTTCTGAAGTTTTGTACAAAATTTTAAATTATCTAGATTTTAATTATCTAGAAACTCAAGGATCATAAAAAGAGTTTTTTTTCTCCATATCATGTCTTTCTTTTAAGCATTCCTCCAAACAATATGTTGCTCAAAACTGTAAATTTAAGGATGAGGAATTAGAATCCTATGATAAACTTGTGTGATTTCAAATCTATTTTTGTCATTTTTAATCCTAAACTTTTGAAGAAAAATTTCTTTCAAAATATAAACTTGAAAAGTGAACCTTCTTTGATTAGGTTTTTAGTTTTTATCATTGTTTTAACACATATTACATTGATTTTTGTTAATTTTTCCACAACTGCATATATCCTTTTGTATTCTATATCATTCAAATAGTCTTAAGTTTTTGTTTTCTACATCAGTGCTTAAGGTTAAGTAAAATGTACTATAAATTAAATATTACTAACACTATTAACATAAAATTAAAATCAAAAGGCTCCTTTCCACAAGTGTTTAATATTCTGTGTTTAAAAAAGTAAATTCAATTCAACAAATACTTAAATTCTACTGAATGCTGGTCACTGTATAAGGGATTTAAAATATACAAGGACAGCCTTGTCCTCAGAGAGCTTATAATCTACCACAGGACAGTACTATTTAAATTTTTCTGTTAATTATGAAATGGGCAAGTACATTAACTTGTACTAGGATCGTATTATTAGGTACCATAGCAATAACTTCTAAGAGTTACATAAACATATGTATAGAACAGAGGTCAATGTATTTCATGTTGTTGTAAACTTTGCAATTAAAAAGTAAAGAGAAAACATCCATTCTTCTTCAAATACCGCTCCTGGGTTAGAATGAGTCATCCATAATCTTTTCCTTTTAATTAGCAGTCTGTACTTGCAGGATGGGCAAACTAGGAGTGCAGACCGGTCTTTTCATTTGGCAGCAATGGGAACACAAAAACTTGAAATGTGAAAGTTACTGGCAGCAGTCTCTAACTAATTGGACTGGAAAAACAACAACACTCTATCAACATACTGTGATTTTTTTTCCTAATAATCTAAAATAAAAAGAAACAGAAAACAAAGGAGAAAAATTCCATAAGTAATAGATAAGTGTTTCACAGGATAAAGTACGATATGGAGACCAAAAAGCTGAGAAATACTTTTCAAAAGCAAAAGAAAAGAACAAAATGGCATTCACATCCTCCAGTCTACAAAGTAGATAATAATTATAATGAATCCCAGAGGAGCACTTAATTTTATTTACAAATTCATTTATAAAGTCTTTTAAAAAATATCTAAATTACACCAATATCTATTTCTTATCTTTATTCACATTATTAGATAGGTGATCACATTTATTGATGAATAACAATAGGGGTCATATATTGAGTCCTATTGTTATAAAAATTGGTCACAGATAACACAACTATTAATATAATAAAACCAACATCCACCACTGAAATATGCCAACTCAATCATAACAAAAAAATTAAAAACAGAATTGGACTGATTATACTTATAATGAAAAGTATACCTGAAAGAATACAAAATTATTTGTACAAAATTACAAATCTGGTGAAAAGAAGCTGAATTTTTTTTTTTCTCTTAAGAGACAGAGTCTTGCTCTGTCACCCAGGCTGGAGTGCAATGGAGTGCAATGGTGCAATCATAGCTCACTGTAATCTCAAACTCCTAGGCTCAAGCAGTGATCCTCCTGCCTCAGCCTCCCAAGTAGCTCGGACTTCAAGCATGTGCCACCATGCTTAGCTAATTTGAAAATATTTTTTTTGTAGAGACAGTATCTCATTATGTTGCCTAGGCTGGTCTGAAACACTTGGCCTCAAGCAATCCTCCCATCTCAGCCTCCCAAAGTGCTGGGATTACAGGCATGAGCCACCATGACTGGTCCGAAGCTGGATTTTGAAACGTAAAATAAAACTTTACTGGATATTTGCCAAATTTCCAGGTTGATTTTTTTTAGAGATAGATTCCCACGCACAAGAAATATTTCTCTATTGGTACCTTATAGTTATATATACTAATTTTTAAAGTATTGCAATGAAATCATCTAAGTTCTTATATACCCTGGCTCACTATTTAAGTATTTATTTTAAATTTAACTAAGCTTCACATTAATAATTAATTTTATACAACTCACCACCTTTGCATCAATTGCAACCTGAGCGAAGCCTTTACGGTTACCCCATATGATGTTGTAGGTTTCATCACTAATTAGTGCTTCTCGAACTCCGCCTGGTGAAATAGCTAACAAGTGACCGCTCTTCAGAATTTCAACACATTTTTCTCTTGGTCCATGTAGAACACAAAACACATCAAGTAATAAACTAAACCCTGTAAAAAACATGAGTATGAAGATGTATCTTAAGTACTTCTTGTTCAATTCTTGAAGAGCAAAAATCTTCACAATCTACATAATTTATTAATACTATCTATACTTAAATCAGTAAACTCTTATTTTTAAAAATCAACAAAAACTCTTAAGGTTAACATAAGATTAATATTGCTGGTTAAATAATAGCTACATCTTACTTATTACCTACTACTGATCACCTCCTTACTGATCACCTACTACTCTGGCTACTTAACATTAAAACTCACAATCTTGGAAAGCAGGGACTCTTCTCCCCATTTTACAGATGAAGAAACTTAAGTTCACAGAGTAAATGGCTTGCTCAAAGTCAAACACCTAGGAAGTAGCAGGGCAGAGATTCCAGTTCAGGTATGCCTAGTCCAAAGTTCCGTCAACTGCATCTCATGGCCAAATACTGTCTAAAGTATTTATTAGAGCAATCAGAAATGATATCCCATTAGCAATTACAAATCTAATCTTCCATTAACCTTACAAGAAAGAGAATTACTCAAGACAATGTGAATCTGATCATGCTTAGCCCTACCCAAACTGGCAAGACCATAATAAAATCTATTGAAATTGAAAGATGATCTTAATTCTATAATTAAATTTGTAAAAATTAATAATAGCAAACATCAAGAGATTTTAATACAGTAAGGTTGTATGACCCAAGAACAGCTAATTCTAAGTCTTAATATTATACAGCTTTTCAAATTACAATTATTTATGGATGAAAGAATCCTGTCAGTAATCAAATATTTTAATCAAACCTCCACTGGAACTTTAGAGGACTGATATTAGTAATACATTTCTCCTTGGGACTGGGAAATAGAGGAATCGATGCTAAAAACTAGGCAGATTAACCAAACTTCTCACTGGTTTAAAGATCTGATCCAAGATTATAAATATCATTAAGATTAAAATAATTTTCAGTCTACATTATATTAAAAGCTCACTGATTAAAACTAGATGCATTCTCATAATGAATGAATACGAGAAGTTTCATTAATTATAAGACAAAATATAAAATCTCTCTTGCACTAAGAATTATAATGATTTTATACCTTCAGAAAGCAATGAAAGACTTAAGGTAATCATGTCAAAATATTAAAAAGATTATAAAGGGGGAAATTTTTTGAAAAAGTCAAATGCTAAAAGTATTCACATTTTATTATTTATAAAAAGGAAAAAATAATGGAAGCAACCTAATGCTCCATATGAGAAAATTAGTTAAGTAAATATTTTAGTCATACATTAAACTGCTCCTTATAAAACATGTAAATTAATGTAAAATGTTAATGCTAGTATTAAATCTTAAAACAAATAACAAAATTGTTTGAATATGTGAAAATATGCAAATTAAAAAAGAAGTAAACAAATCAAAGTAACTATTTTAGGATGGTAAGATTATAATGATGTTCTTCTGTTCTCTCATTTCCAAATCTTCTATAAAGTGACCAGGTTACTTTTTAAAGGAAGACCTTATAGCCAATTTAGTTTAACCACAAAGGGCAAGTGGCTTTTTAGTAATACAAGGATACCCAAAACATTAACCATGTTTATGGAAGGCATCGAAGTAGATCGTTACTTAATTCACTGCCTGGTTTGTGTTCATCTGGTTGATGGCTTGGCTTTTGCTTTTTTTTTTTT